GAGGGTGGGGGTAGGGGGGAAGGGGAGCGCTGCTGCTCCCCTTCCCTTCCCCTCCCCCGGGGAGGTGTTCGCTGCTCCGACGCTTTCGGCAGCCGAGGCGTGAAATCGATTGAGTCGTCGCCTTCACGCCTCGATATATCGAACCGAGCGCACCGTGCAATCATGTGCAACCCCCTCGCCCCCCCCCCTCTCCGCGCTTCCTCCTCCGGTGTTTTCCTTTGGCGCGTTTACTTAGCGGCCGGACCGAGGGCCGGGCCGGGGCCTCCTCGTTAACCCCTATCCATCATCTCCGCCACCGCCGTCCAGTCCGCGAGCCAGCGGAGCCAGCGGCGGAGCGCCGAAAGGCTGAAGTGCGCCTGCCTCTTCTGCCCGCCGCCGCCGGCCGCCGTCGCCTCGGCCTCCTCGACCGCCTCGGCGACACCGACCCGAAGGATGCAAACAGACTTGACACGTGCAGCGGGCGCGGCGGGCGCGCGCGCTAGACTTTCTCCCGCCCCGCGGCCGCCTCGAGCACAAGATGGAAATTACAAATTTATTCCTCGCTTGTCGACTTGTCGCCCGACGTCGCCCGCCCGGCTGCTGCCTCGCCGCTCCTCGAGCAGGCGGCGGTGGTGGTGGTGGTGGTGGCCATGGTGGCGGCACCATGCAGTACGTTCGGCGACGCTCGCATGGAGCCGTAAGCGTTCCTCATAATATGGGCGCTCGCCTCGCCCACGGACACAGACCGCGACCGCGCGACCGTGCTGCTGGCTGTGGATGAGGGGACGCCCGTGGTGGACGGGGTCGCGGAAGGTCGCCGGGGAGTCTTGTGCTCCTCTCTGTGCGGTCCAGCGTTATGTCACGTGTTGTTGGGGTAGGTCGGGCGTGGTCGGGGAGCGGTCGCGGCCAGAGCTAGACCAGCTAGACGGACGTGTACGCGGTTTGAAAGGGAAAGCGCTCGCCCGCTTGCTTGGCTCCTCTACTTCCGTACTTCCTGTCAACGCCAGACCGCAAACGCGGGCGAAGGGGCCCACTGCTGCTGCAGGCCAGCAGGCTGTCTGACCGGCCGGGAGTGTAAGCCCGCCGTCTCCAAATAAGGATGCGTCTAACCGCGGCTTCTCTTTTTTTCTGTTGCAGGATTTTATTTTAGAGCACTATAGCGAGGACGGAGGTAGATACGAAAATGCAATATCCGAATTTATGGACATTAGACAGGTAAGTGGACGATGCGAGGAGGTGTGTAGGTACGACGTAGACGTTAGTTGGTGCACGATGGTGACGTGAACGTTCTTGCAGGCGATGCGGACGCCGCTGCGGGACAAGTCCGGCGTGGCGCTGCTGTTCCAGTACTACAGCCAGCTGTACTTCGTGGAGCGGCGGTTCTTCCCGCCCGACCGCAGCCTCGGCATCTACTTCGAGTGGTACGACTCGCTGACGGGGGTGCCGAGCTGCCAGCGCACCGTCGCCTTCGAGAAGGCCTGCGTGCTGTTCAACATCGGCGCGCTCTACACGCAGCTGGGCGCGCGCCAGGACCGGCAGACGGCGCGCGGCCTGGACCAGGCCGTCGACTCGTTCCTCCGCGCCGCCGGCACCTTCACCTACATCTGCGACAACTTCACCAACGCGCCCTCCATGGACCTCGGCCCGCACATGCTGCAGATGCTCGTGCAGCTCATGCTGGTGAGTGGGCAGCGCGGCGCAGCGCAGAGCGAGCCGCGAGCGCATTCCTGGACGCACGCGCGCGCCCCAGGGCGAGGCGCCCGCCCCGCCCCACACCCCGCCCCGCCACGCGCCACAGACCATTGGCGCGCGAATTGGCGTCGAATTTTAGAAAGCAACTCGACCGCGGTGGCGGCGCTGCGAGGAGGGCGCGATCCGACTCTGCGGCGTTGCTTGCGCGCCGCGGCGGCGGCGGCCTGGCCGCTGGCCGGCGCTAGGCTAGGGCAGCGAGGCGCGCCCTCAATTCGCCCGAGATTGACCGGCGCACCGTTCCTTCCCTCCCGGCCCGAAGGAGCACCGCGAAGCACACCAAGCCCGCCGTCGGGCACCGTCGGCCGGTGGGCCGCGAGCCGCGCTCTGTAATCACGAGGGAGCGGCCAGCGCGGCGCCGGCCACTGATGCCGGCCCCGGCTGGCCGGCTTGTCTTTCTGCCTGCCAACGTGGCAATTCAAAAAGAACGAATACATACAAAAATTTTAAAATAATTGGCCTTTGGTGCGGGGGAAAGGTTGTATCATTTGATTTTTTAAAAAATCCATGCATCTTACCATGTTTTCCTTTTATCGGGCTTCCACCTGGATTTAGGAAAAGCGGTTGTGGTTACGTTCTAGTGGCCAGTAGCTTTCTGATCAAGAACGTGCCTAATACTCCGCTTTTGCTTTTTCCCCTGAATCCACCTTGACCCTGTCGTTTGTGCCCCGCAGGCCCAGGCGCGGGAGTGCCTGTTCGAGAAGCTGGAGCTGCAGTCGCGCGACCCCTGCGACGAGGACCAGATCGACGACACGAGGGACATCGACGTGAGCCTCGACCTGGCCCAGGAGTCGGCGCAGGTGGCGGACGTGTACGGCCTGGTGCACGACCTCATCTCGGCCAGCGCCGTCAAGGACTACGTGCCCTTCTCGTGGGTGGCGCTCGCCCGGCTCAAGAGAGAGTACTACACGTCGCTGGCACACTTCCACTGCGCCAACGGCCTGCTGGCGCGCCCGCTCGCGCACCTAGACGAAAGGTAAGGCCCTGCTGCGCCACGCCCCGCCCTGCGCGGGATTGGAAGCGGCGCCACTGGCGGCCAGAACGACCACCTCGGTACATGAGACAAGAACCTGTTGGTCGTGCGACTCACGCTGCTCTTCTCCCGCACAGGACCAAGGAGGCGCTGCAGTTCATGCACGGCGAGCCCGATGTGCGGACGCAGCTCGACATTCGGGTGCCGGCCGACGACGGCGAGAGGAAGCTGCTGGGTGAGTTGGCGCGCCGCCGTCTATCGTCTCCGGTGATCCTGCAGCAGCAGCCTCAGCAGCAGCTCATGCCCGTCCTGTTGCAGGCCGTGCCCACCTCCGGGCGGCGCTCCTGTGTGTGGAGGAGAGCCAGCGCCAGCAGCGCATGTGCCGCGAGCTGCGCGACAAGCTGGCCCTGCAGGCCGTGCTCCGGCGCACGCACGACCGCGCCATGGACGCGTACGCCGTGCACGAGGACGAGGAGGAGTTCAGGGAGCTCCTGGACCCGCCGAGAATACTGGGTAAGAAGCAGCCGGGGCCCGGGCAGTGCCTCCGCCCCCTCCTGCCTCCCTCCCCACGAGTCGCGGGCAGAATGTAGGTTACCGGTGGCTGGGCTGGGCTGCGCGAGCTGCGCGGAGCGGTGGTGTGGCCCGCGGGTGCCGCGCCAGCCTGCCGCGGGGCGGGCCGGCGGGCCCGGCTCAGCTCGGCGGCTCGCGGACCAGTCCACTGGCTGCCCCGGCGTAGGTTGGGCTGCCTACCTCCCGCGCCACAGGCGGTGCCCGGTGCGCGTTTGGTTGCCCGCGTCGCGGGCGCAGGGCCCGCAGGACACCGTCACTCACACTCGCCTCTCTGTTTGCAGCGTCGACTAAGTTCCAGCTCAGCCTGACGTCACCGGATTTCTCCCAGTTCCGCGTCGAGGACCCCTTCCGCAGCCTCGGCCCCGTGGCCATCTTCTCCGCGCGCCACCACTGGACGGCGCCGCGCCAGGTCACGCTGCAGCGCGCCGACGACGAGGGCTTCGGCTTCAGCGTGCGGGGCGACGCGCCCGTCATCGTGGCCGCGGTCGACAACGGCTCGCTCGCCGATGTAAGAAGCCACACTTCTCGGAAATTGGCAGGGCTCCGTAACTTATCATAACACGAACGAGTGTTAGTTACTCAACGTAACAAAACACATGACAAATTTAAAAGTTAAAATTATTGATTTTGAAATATGTCCGATACTAATTGTACATACTGTGGAAAAGAGTTGGGCAAGTCGTATAACTAACTTATTTCCAAAGAACTACTAACGTTAAAGACAATTAAGTGATAAGTTTCCGAGCTCTGGAAATTTAGGCAAACTATCATAAAGAGTTGAAAATTTCCAAAAATTTCCAGAAAAATAAGACAATTTCTCTGTCCCCAGAAATTTTCCTTTTTTTTCTGTAAACATTTCAGGATTTCCAAACCTACTTTCAAATGATTTTAATGTCCCATATGCGCACTAATACCAATGTTTCTGTTTTCTTGGCTCTACAGTTTGGTGGTATGAAAGAAGGCGACTTCATTGTCTCCATTGGAGACAAAGATGTCAAGTGGGCGGCCCATGAGCAAGTGGTAAAACTTATCAAGGAAGCCGGAGACTCACTCACACTAAAGCTAGTCACTCCTATGGACCGCAATTACCTGAAGGTGAGCTATTTGTGTGGGTGTGGGTAAATGGTAAGGGTCAATATTTTTGTACCAAGTCTGTAATTATTTTTGTTTTACATTTTTAGGCATCTAATAAAAATAGCAACAAAGGTTCAGTCTCAGCTGGAAGTTCAAGCGGAGAGCCAAGCCCTGCATGTTCTGTAGCTGGAAGTACAACAAAAAAGCTTACCTGGAATCCCTTCCGCAAACAGCGAGAAAGAGACAGTGGTTTTGAAGCTAGCAATGTTATCTTAAGATAATGACTCCATGGTGGTTTGCATTTGGGTTTGTCTGATATCTTCTGAGTATTCCGCTGAGTTGGAAGTGACTGATTGTTAATCTTTTCAATATTAAGACAAATATGCTCTTTTTGTCCCTCTCTTATACAATTCTGTACCTCTGTAGTTTAACTGTTAAATCTGATTTAAGGATTACCTCTGTTTAAGATATCAACAAACCACCATAGGAAGTTGTTAAATATTGTGATTCTTAAATTAACTTGCTGTAGGTAGGTTTATGTGCCTAGCTAATAGCTGATGCTCATCATGTAATAATTTCTATTACATAGAAGTTAAGAGGAAGTAAATCTTAAAGCAACCCTCTGGCTATCCCAGTACCTTAGAAATGTGTGCATATTATGTATATAAATGTTAAATAATACAGCTGCTTTTGTATATACGTGGATGTTGTGGTCTTGATTTAATTGACCTTCTGACTTATAACTTTTAGAAATGTGCTCAACTGCTAATGTGAGTATGTGAATAGGATTAACATTCTCATCTATCTTAGAACTAGAATGTTTTAAATGTGACTTGACAAGTGTAGTGAAAGCTAGGAGTCAGAAAGTTAGTTAATTTCAGAGGCAACTCAAACCTTGTTTATTTTTGTACATAAAAGAATTATGCATTGTTACCTTTGTTGTAAAAGAAATAGTCTATCCAATGGAAATTATTGTTGTGCAACTTGCTTTAGAGAACATAATTTTTTCCTGTAAATTATAGCAAGAAATTGTCACTGTGGACTGGAGACAATTTACTAATAAAACAGAAATCTTCTACACTGTCTCGTTTCAAACCGAACCTATGTAAAAAAAAATCTATAGCTGATACTCCATTCTGTTCTGCTCGTACAGTAAAAATAAATACTTTACAAAGACGAAATCGCCACGCGTCTCTTTCAAATCCTTCCTTTTTTAAATGAAAATTCCGCACCTTGAGTTGGGAAAAAGGCGGAAAAGATTTACGCTTGCCAACCTTCACGCGAAACACAGGTTTTCTACAATGAAGTTGTCAGTTGTCTCGATAGCAAAAGGTGATTAGTATTTGGCTAGGGAAAAAAACAGTTTTTATTTATTCTATTTGAAAAATGAAGCATTTTGGATCATCGGTAAAATATGAAGTATGATATTACGAAAACCGATATTTCCGTTGGCGATGGCCATTGGTTCGCTCACATCCGTTCGTAGTTTGTAAGGTAACGCGGATATGGGTTTCTGTGACCGCTTCGCTAAAAGTTTAACTTTGACAGAAAAACACACAATGGACGAGGAGGACGTGAAACCGACAATTTTCGACCGAATCACTGGTATGTGCTCACTCACCGGTGGTAGAAATAATTGTTTTATCAGAAATTACTGCAATTTGGGCGGCTTGGGATGACGTCATGAGTGAGGGTTATGATTATCAGCAAATCTTTTATTTAGAGAAATAAACTCGTTTTTTCTCCTTCTGTTATGTCTCATCCCACTCGCTGTCACCCATCAGCTGCGGCGCAATGGTAAGTGGTGTCACGATTAAATGAATTACCACAAACCGGCTGTCGCGTTTTGTCCGGTCAACGTCACATCCAAGGTGGTCACACTCCCAGCCTTTCTTACACGTCCGTATTGTGTGCCCTGCGCAGCCTCGACCGCGCCACACAAGAGGTGCTGGCCGGCCTGCTGGGCGCGGGGGCGCGTGCCAGGGCCCTCTCCAGTATCGGCATGGCCTGCGAGATCGCCCAGGACGTGACGGAAGAGCTTCAGCGGCCCGGGCCGAAGCTGGTCCCGGACGCCGTCCGGGTGAGTGTCCCGACGAGAGGTTAGGCGCTACCGGAGGCATGGGATGGGTAGGGCGAGGGTGCGCAGCGAAACGCAGGCAAGGGCACTTAATTTGTAAAATTAGTTTTGTAAATTGAAACAAACGGGTTTGTCCCACCGGCTCGCAGGACAACGTCCTACAGGTGCTGTCGACTGTGTTCGAGTCCGTCCGGAGCAGCAGTGCGCTCCTGGAGCGCCGCGCCGACGCCCCGCCGACGAGGCCGCCGCCGCCCGCCGCGTCCTCCGGCCCCTCGGGCCCCGCGCCAACCCGCACCCCCTCCGCGGGTTCCACGGACTCGTCAACCTGCTCTGACGGAGACCAGGGCGCCACCATCGGCGCGCTGCGGAGGCACATCAGCCCCAACATGGGGCTCTCGAGCCTGGCGGGCATGGCACACGCCAAGCGACTCCTCACCGAGGCCGTGGTGCTGCCTCTGAAGTTCCCCCATCTCTTCCGAGGCGAGTACACTGAGAGCGTTGTTCAATGACGTTCACCCCTGGAGCCGCTGACCACCTTCTTGTCCTCCCTGTCAGGCACCCTCCAGCCGTGGCAGAGCGTGCTGCTGTTCGGGCCGCCGGGCACCGGCAAGACGCGCCTGGCGCTGGCCGTGGCCGCCGAGGTGGGCGCCGAGCTCTACTGCATCAGCCCCGCGGACCTCCTGTCGAGCTGGTTCGGACAGACGGAACAGTAAGTCTCATTTCCATATGAACTCAAGCAGGTTTGTGCCGCATACCTGGTGTTCAACAATTAGCCCCGGCCGCCGTCGTGGTTATACTGTACCGCATGCCGGGCTTGCCACCCGTCTCTGGGCAGAGCGCATAAGGAGGGCCCCTTAGGCGGGAGGAAACCCGCCCGTGTGCTTGGGGAGAGGTAGGCCCCTAATGGTGGTGTTTGGAAGGCCAAATAATTATCCTATACATCCACCCGATCGCAGTTTTATCCTGGTGGGTAAACTCTGTCGAAGCGTCGCGCTAAAAGTTTTCATTATGAACCTAGAACATCAATGGAAGGCTGTAAAAACCTTAACTGCCCTCACCCAAAATTGTAATTTGGCCACGGCCTCTTGCGCTTGTCGACCTCTTCGCCATCATCATCGCAAAAGCCGGAGGCCGCCGGAGGCCGCCGGAGGCCGCCGGAGGCCGCCGGAGGCCCTGTAGCTGCTCACCGTCTCCCTGCCCCCCAGGAACATCCGCGAGCTGTTCGGCCAGCTGCGTGAGCGCGCGCGCTCCCGACGCGTCATCGTGTTCCTGGACGAGGTGGACGGGCTGTGCCGGCGCCGCACGCACCAGGAGGCCGAGTCCACGCGCAGGATGAAGACGGAGCTGCTGACCCAGCTGCAGTCGGGCGGCGGCCGGGCCGGGCCGTCGGGCGCGCCGGAGGGCTGCGGTGGCGACGCCGCCCAGCTGTTCTACGTGTGCGCCACCAACTGCCCCTGGGAGATTGACCCCGCTTTCCTCCGTCGCTTCGAGAAACGCATTTTTATCGGGCTACCCGATAGGTATGTGTTTGCTAATGTTTTGTCCTGCTCGCATCTTTTGTGTTTGGGCCACTCTCTAGTTACCCCCTCCCTCCCCTCTTTTCCTCCCAGGGAATGCCGCCAGGAGATCATACGCTCCAGCGTCAACTTCCACGTGGAAGCCTCCTTCCTGCAGGCGCCCGAGTGGCTGACCCTGCTGGACCGCACCGAGGGCTTCTCCGGCTCCGACATCACCGACCTGGTGAAGAACGCCCTCTACCAGCCCATCCGGGAGCTCACCACGACCATGCACTGGTCGCCCACGGCAGGTGTGTGTTGTCTGTGGCCCTATCACAAACAGTTCGCAGCATTGCTGCGTCCGCGAGGAGACTAACTTTTGAGACTGACTACTGTGATTCCTGTTCCATCAGGTGGGCTGTGGATGCCGTGCCCTAGCAACACCATCGGCGCTCTCAGGCAGAACATGGACTCCTTCCCCCCGCACACGGTGAGTGTCGCTGAACCTGAACTTATTTTCATCCTATATTTGGAAAGGTCGCCTGACGAGGGATAATCGTCAGAGAGGTTAAACCGGACACTTAAAATGGTATAAGTTGATGAAACAAAAGAAAATGAGTTTGTGGTGTCATCGCATAGGGGCAGGTTTTAGCTTCCCGCGGTATGTTTCCGTAGGGGAGGGGGGTGGGGGGGGGCTCCTTTGAAGCAGAGCGGGCGGCACCGCGTCGTGTGACGCAGCGTGACCTTGCGCGACGAGCGTTCCTAGTGTCTGACGGGATCTGCGATGCCGCGGGCGCGATTATAGTCGAGCTCTAAACTTGTTCTCGCGCTTTTGTTCGTTAGACGTCGCCCTGCTCATTTCAGCTGGCGAGGGCCAACCGCTTGCGAATTTGAACCCTGCTCTGCATCCCAGTCAGTTTCATGAAAGCGGAATTCGGAAAAGAAACGAAAACCCGAGCAAAAAACTAGTTTTGCCGTTCCTACTGATCACGTGTCACGTTCCTCCATTGACTTGTACGTATGAGAAACTGTCAAATCAATATCCCGCCCCCTTCCACCCTTCCGTATTTCATTTAAGAAGTTACAAAAGGGCCGAACCAAACCATATACCGTATCGGTAGAAACACACACCAGTGAGTTTGTTCTTTTTCCCATCATTTTTGTGTTCCACCCACATCGATGTTTGTGCGATATGTTTTTCTCTATTCTTACGCCGGGGTTCTATTCGTCAGGTGGTTGCACGGAATGTGACGGTCCGAGACTTCCTGGAGGTGCTGGAGACGGCCAGACCCACGGTGTGCCACGAGGACCTCGAGCGCTACGAGCTCTTCACGCGCCAGTTTGGTCAGCTGGGCTGATTACAGCAGCGGTTCTTGACTGCTGATAAATGCCGTCGGGTTCTGTTGCACTTTGTTTTAAACGTGTACAAATGCCGCAAATTATGAAATGTTTTAGGCTCATATATACGCGTGAATCTAGGCAGAATTGTTCCTGTTTTAAAATTCTTTTAATATTTTTTAAAT